CCAATTCTTTATAACAAATTGAGTAGCTGCTTTTGTTTCTTAAAAGACAGGCCCTCTCATTATGTTGCCCAGGCTTTCCTTAAACTTGTGAATCAAGAATTCTCCTGACTCAGCCTTCCAAGTAGCTAGGACTATAAGCATGAACCACCATACCTGACAAATTCAGTATCCCTTTTTTTGTTGTTTGTTTTTGTTTTCTGTTTTTTTTTTTTTTTTTACTTTGGGTTTTTTTTGTTTGTTTGTTTTGTGTGTGTATGTGTTTAGCCCTGGCTATTCTGGAACTCACTCTGTAGATCAGGCTGACCTCTGCCTCCCTGAAGTGCTAGGACTAAAGATGTGCACCACCACCACCCAGCCTTCCTTTCTCCCCCCCCACAAAGATTAAAAAACATTTTTTAAGTGTTTTGCCAACTTGTAAGTTGATGAGCTACTTGTGTACCTGCTGCCCAAAAAGGCCAGAAAAAGACTTTAGACTCCCTAGAACTGATGGTTGTGGGCTGCCATGTGGGTGCTAGGAATAGAACCCAGGTCCTCTGAAGAGCAGCCAGTGTTTTTAATTGCAGAAATATCTCTCCAGCTCTTTAAGTATCTTTCTTAACACATTTAAAACAACTTGCAATTTCTTATAGTGAAAAGAAAATCAACTTTAACGTTCTAGAAAACTAAACAGACTTTCTATGACTATATAAATGCAAACAAAAGTCAGGTACCAAAGCAAAACCCAAACAGTCCTTTCTCATTATAGAGAGAACACATCCCTATGACTCTAAGAAAGTGCTTACTGCCTCTGATCTAACAGCTGGAGACATAACATACAACCTGTTCACCACATTCAAGTAACTTTAAAAAGGCCTGGCATCACACCAAACAAGTGAACAATGTGATCCAGTCACAGAAGAATGCATGACTGAGAAGATCTGACTGATACATGTCCCAAACTTACAGTTTCCACACAACACTTCCTCCCCCATTGACTTGCCCTTTGAACCTGCCTTCAAAACAACTGCACCACATACCCCATTGCCACCTGTCATCCCACAGACAGGCACACTTGCACCTGCTGAGGGAGTCATTTCTGTACCACTGTTCCTCTGCAAAGATTTGCTGTCCTCACAGAACTAAAAAAAACCACACGGGATCCCCTGTCCACTCCACAAAAGACACTACTTGAGAAGAGGAAAAACACATTCTGAGGACTATTCTCCAAACAGATGACCTCAGACAGCCTCATCTCTATAGCACTTCCAGCTTGTCATTTACATGCCATCTCTCAAGCCTATCGGGGTCAATCAGCTGCCGAGGAGCACTCAACTCCAGCTCAAGTACAGGTAAGGCTGAAAACCTAGGAGACATCCATTCCTCTTCCCCAAAACTGTTCTGAAAGAAGCCTAGACCCAGACCTGCCTTCAGCCCTGTATCTCTGCAGACAGCTGCTAGCTTAGATAATATCCTCCTCATAAAATCCATGTCAGAAACATTTTTTTAAAAAGTTCTCAGAGGTTAAGAGTACTTCCTGCTTTTCCCTAGCATCTATATCAGGTGGCTTATAACCACCTGTAACTCAAGCTCCAGGGGATCTAAGACCCTCTCCTGGCCTTTGAGGACAACCACAAACACATGGGATTTACACACACACACACACACACACACACACACACACACACACCTGTTTTGGAAAGAAACATAAAACAAGCCCTTGGTTCCATCTTTTATGGGGAACTTTGTCTTGCCTTCAGGGTCATCAACGGAGTTAAAAATGCATCCTGTTCCAAAACAGGCAAAGCAACTAAGCACAAAAGAAATGTGGCAGAGAGGGCTGGAGACGGCTCTGCAATTAAGAGCACTTTTTGCTCTTGCAGAGGACAGGGGTCAGGTTCCCAGCACACATATGGTGGCTAGCAATCATCTGTAACTATATTTCAAGAGGATCTGACACCCTCTTCTGGCCTCCAAGGGCACTGCACACACATGATGTGTATACAGACATGTACACTTGCACATAAAATAAAAACAATTTTGATTTTTTGATACAGGAATTTTCTGTGTAGCCCTAGTGTGTGTCACCACATTCAGCTAAAAATAAATCTGTTTTTAAAAAGGGGGGAGGGGGAACTAGAGAGATGGCTCAGGGGTTAAGAACACTAGCTGGTCTTTCAGAGGTCCTGAGTTCAATTCCCAGACTACATGATGTCTCACAATCATCTGTAACAAGACATGGTGCCCTCTCTGACCTGCAGGCATATATGCAGACAGAACACTGTATACATAATAAATAAATCTTAAAAAAACAAAACAGCCAAGAAGTGATGGTGCACACCGTTAGTCCCAGCACTTGGGGAGGCAGAGGCAGACAAAGCAGCTAAGGCTACACAGGCAAACCCTGGGGGGGGGGGGGGGATCAAGGTCTGATTGTGGCACACCTCTTTAATCCCATCACAAGGGAAACAAGCAGGTAAATCTCTGGTTACATAGCAAGCTCCAGGCCAACTATCAACTATTTAGTGAGATCCTTAATTTAAAAAAAAAAAAAAATTGTGGGTAATTTTATAATCTGAAGCCACTTTTTTGCATGCTTTCTAAATTTCCCTGACAGATGCAGCACCCTTGGGAAATCTAAAGCACCTTAAATTCTCAATTCCCTCTGACCAAACCACATCTCTTTTTCCAAAGGGGTGTGGAGAGGCTTTAAGCCTCACCCCAGCAGAGCACACAGCTTCTTCTAAGCAGATGTTTTCTGACAGGATACAACTGAAATGGGCTCCAGGTCCCATTTCAAAGAACACAGTCATCTACCCAAAGAAATATAATGTTCCTCTTCCTCCAACATGGCACAATTAATATACTTAGGAGGCTCAAGCTCCAGGAAGACATCTTGGGCAGTGGCACTGAGGACTTCCTCACACCCTAAGCTGCCCACAGAGCCCCTGGGAGACCCTCACTTGACAGTGACTCTGGATTTTCTGTCCAAATCCAATGTTACTTATGAGTTGTGTACTTGACCTCTCTTATCTTATTAGTTTCCTCACCTGTAAAATGGGAAACTTGACCTCTCTTATCTTATTAGTTTCCTCACCTGTAAAATGGGAAACTTGACCTCTCTTATCTTATTAGTTTCCTCACCTGTAAAATGGGAACAATATCTACCTCACAACACAATATGAATGAAGTACAAATCTAAATTATCTGCCTTGAAGTAAGAACTCAATAAATGGTACTTAAAACCTCTGGTCCACCTTTACAGCAGACTGAGCTAGTCCTATTTCCACAGCCTCAGGTCATACTGTTGGCTTTACAAGTGTAAAGGGAAAAGGCTTTGAGGAAAGTTAATTGAGAGTGTCAGCATGCCAGGTTAAAGTTCATCTTCCAGTCCTCAGATTAAAACCCATCACAGGAGCCAACACTGTCATTCCTAACAGGAAACAAGGCATATTCTCACATGTTGGAGGCTCTAGATGACAATTATGCAAGACCTAGTTCTTCTCATTTATTTACAGAGAATTCTATCGTTGACTCTGTAATTCTCTCCTGCTCAACAGATTTCAATGCTTTTAACACTGAAAAGAATGCCTGATGAGAAGAAAATTGTATATATCAAATGCCCATCATGGAAGTGCCAAGATCATGTGAGAAAACACTTTTTCTCTTCACATAGACACCCATCAAATACGCACCTTATACACTGCAACAGCATCACTGTGTAAAAGTTCACTTTATAGCATCCACAATACTGTCACTCCAACTTTTTTCATTTTTTGTGTGCTAGCCCAAACACCCCGGGGTAAAGACACAAGTGTCGCAACACCCTTTTGCCTTTCACCATTTTTCTCAATAGGTCCTCCTCCTTTTAGAACTTGGATTAATTACCACCCATCTCCACAATGGAAGTTTATAACTTGGAAGTCCACAGATGAGCTGCAGACGGCTCAAGAGCCTCCAGTAGCAACAAAATTTAGAGCAGCTGTGCATGCTTCTCAAAGGGAGCCCACACTTTCAGATTCTCAAAGAGGCTCATGACCCTCCAAAAACATTCAAAAGCACAGCCGCCTCCTACACCATAATGCATCAAGTGAGTTTCTTGGGTCCACCTGAGTAAAGAGACCCACAACCCCCTTCGACCCCACCCCACCCACAAAGAAGGTAGGGGTAAGGATCGAACCCAAGAGCTCTCTCTGTACGTACAAGGCAAGCAAACCACCACTGAACTCCAGCCCTAGCCCAAGGGGGTCTGCCTTCTGAATCAAATTTTGCTAGGCATCTGACATCATTTCATCACCCACTTCATACATCATGCAAGGTAGACATGCTGATCTACCTTGATCCTAAAAACTCTAAAACTTAACAGAAAATGCAAGACAACTATAGATACTTTTGACACAGAGAAAACAGTAACATTTCACCCAACAAGTGGTTGGGGGTTCCCCCCCCAACCCCTCCTCCCTGTCAAACTTAGGCTGCCCTCACTGGGGCCTCTAAGCCCGGCCTCCCAGGGCTTCCCACCTCACTGAGCGCAGAAACACAGTACCGAAATGGCCCGCTGACCAAGAATCTGGAGAGGAGCCGCCAGCATCAGGTGTTACAAGCAGAAACTCACATCTCCTGCGTCCCGAGACCATCCTTCAGGTAAAGGCCGGAGGCTTCTCCTCCGCAGGCAAGACCTCAAGGTAAGCCCAGAGGCTCGGCTCCAGGCTGCGCGGAGCCGAAAACAAACTTTCCAGGCACTTCCACCCCGCCCGGTTGGGTGACACCTCCCGGCCTCCCCCGCCCTCTTCGCCCTGTCAGCGCCCCCGCTGCCTCCGCCAGCCGGAGCCGGAGCCCGCGCTCCCCGCCGCAGCCAAGAAGCACCCTCGAACGGCGCCAGTAGTCCAGCTCGCCGGCCAGCCGCAGGTGAGGCGCCGCCCGGCCCGCGGCACCGGGCCGCCCCACCTCGCCTAGCAGAACCCGAGCGACCGCCACGCTCCCGGGTAACGGACCGGCGCGCCCTACAGCCGCCACGCGCTCACCAGCTGGCTGGTGGTCCTGGCCATGAGCCCCGCGTCGGCGCGGGCGCCTCCCCCGCAGCGTTGCGCTGCTCGGCGCCTCCTCAGCGTCCTCCTCCCCGCGGCGGAGCCCCAGCAATGGCCGCCCTCATCCTGCGCCCGCCCCGCTGCCTGCCGCCCCCAGCGCCACCCCGCCCCCGCGCGACGCTGGGTGGAACTTCCGCGACGCAGTCGCCGCTGCCTGTATCCATTGGTCAGTATCACTATCACTCGCCGCGGCCGTGAGTGCCCCGCCCCCGCCCGGGAGCCGCATTTCCGGGTTGGGTCCTGGAGCGCCTGTAGAGGGAGACCGAGCGAGCCAATCCAAGGCGGCGAGGAGGGGCCGGTCTGGAGCGCCGAGCTGTCATCCGTGTTCCCTGTCAGGTAAACTGAGGCTTGGCGGCCAGCTGGCCAAGGTCACGCCTGGGGCAGCGACAAGACTGAGTTTGAACTCGCTGCCTGAACTACTTGAATTTCTTTGATTCACAGCTCGAGTGGTCCGGGAGAGAGATTGGGCTATCCTATTATTCAAAAAAACAAGCCGTGCTGCCACTGACAGCCTCGGAAACTGTGCCTAGATTTTGGTGGGTGACCTTTTGCTTTTCGGATGTTTTTGTGAGCTTGCTTTTATTCTTTTTAGTTCATTTTCCCTCAACAGGATCTCACTATGTACTCCAGACTGGCCTCATACTCGCAGCAATCTTTCTGTCTCAGCCACCACACCCTGCTTTACCTGTCACTAATACAACGTTGTTTTTTTTAATTGTGATGAAATGAAACAAATTTTACAATCTTTACTTAAAAATATAACTTTTTGTGCTTTGTGTATAGTGTATGTCCGCTTGTGTGTGAATGCTGCTGTCTTCAATACTATTCTCCATCTGGAGCTTGCTAATTCTTCTAGGCTGGCTGGCGCCGTGAGGTGCAGGATCCTCCTGTCTCCGCTTTTCCGGGGATGAAATTACAGACATGCCCACCATCTCCAGCTTTTACATGAGTACTGAGGATCCAAATTCAGAACTTCATATTTTCATAGCAGGCATTTTACTGAGCCATCTTCCCACCTTTGCCCATTTTTTCAGTTTTGGGAATTGAACTCAGGACCTCACACCTGCTAGGTTATCTCTAAATTAAGATGTCCAAATACACCCCTACCTCTTACCACCTTTGTTTTGTGGTGGTTTTGAGCAGGTCTCAGTGTGTAGCCCTGGCTAACCTGGACCTCACTATGCAGAACAGGCCTGCCTTCAATTTCCTCCCTTTGCTCCCCTACTGCTTGGATTACAGGCATGTACTACCCCCTCCAGATATCTGTCCTTATTTTTAAAAGTCATTTGAAGTCGGCTGAAAATAACTGCATGTTCAGCCTTAAATGGGACATCTAGAGCCAGACAGTGGTGGTGCACACCTTTTACCCCAGCACTCAGGAGGCAGAGGCAGGTGGATCTCTGAGTTTGAGGTAAGCCTGATCTACAAAGTGAATTCCAGGGCTGCCAGGTCTACTCAGAGAAACCCTGTCTCAAACAAAAGTAAAGGGGCATCTATGTCATTCCCCTTCTAAATAAGGCTTTGGGAACGTTGAGAAAGAGAAAAGGAAAGAATGTCTGAGTTGTAAAATGGGGGAAGAATGCTGAGAAATGTTGTTTCCTGAACATGGGTGCCCATGGCATTGATGAAGTCACAGCTGATGTCGTTACCTGCACAAGGTCAAGCCAGTCACAACACCAATATAGACAGGAGACGACCTCACAAGGCCCCAAACCTATCTGAGTAGTTTTTTGACAACTAACTGATAGCTGCTGGGGAAGAGCCTTTTTTCTTTGGGGTGTGGCCATTGAAGGTTGTCCTTGCTCAAGTGGATGACACCATACACATTCACACATAGACAGCACTAACCAAACTCAGTAGGTTTCTAAAAATTATACTACTACTTGCCCCACTCAAAAAAAATGGTTTAAAGTCAGATGAAGTGGAGTATACTTGTAGAGACTTCTAACCTGGTAGGAGAATCATTTGAGTCCAGGAGTTCAAAGCCAACATGAGCAATATAGCAAGACTTTTGTCTGAAAAATTTTTAGATGATATAGAACAGCCAATATTCTTGGCATAAATTAATAATCCCATGTAAGCAGAATGAATTACTAAACAAGCAGTAATGACCATTAACAGCTACTTCATATTGACTGTAAGTGGGGAATTTTCATCTTAGATCTCATTTATTCTAGAGCATCCCTAATATTGTTGTCCCAATTTTCACATGAGGAAACTGAGGCACAGGAGTGGCAATTCTACAGTTTGAAGTGCCATAATGGAGACCTAGGCATCCACATTCTAGGACCTGTATGCCAATCCCTAGATATACAGCCCATAGCTACCCTTTCTCCATGTCTGTCATACATTTATAGGCCTTAAAAATTACTAACAGGCCAGATGGTGGTGGTGCATGCCTCTGATCCCAGCACTTGGAAGGCAGAGGCAGGCAGATCTCTTTGAGTTCAAGGCCAGCCAGGTCTACATAGACTTCCAGGATAGCCAAGGCTGAAACCTGTCTCAAAAAAAAAAAAAAAAAAAAAAAAAAAAAAAAAAAAACAGGCCAAGAGATGGTTCAGTGGATAAAGTACTTGCTCTAAAGGTATGAACACCTGAATTTGGATCCTCAGAGTCCATGTTAAGCCCGCCACAACTAAGCTCATCTGTAAACTCAGTATTCCTGTGACAACAGAATCCATGGAAGCATGTGAGCAGGTTATCCCAGACCCTGAACAGACCTGATATAACTCAGCAGGTAAAATAATTGTTGTGCAAGCCTAACGACCTGAGTTTAACTCAACCTAAGTCAAGATAGGTAATAACTGACTCCACAAATGTACCATGATACAAGTATGCCCCTCATCATAAACACACAATAAGTTTCTTAAATTTTTATTAGATTTATTTATTTTTATGTTGTATGTTTTTCTTTCATGTATACCTGTTTATGTACCATATGTGTGCTTAGTACCCAAAGAGGTCAGAAGAAACTATCAAATCCCCTGGAACTGAAAATGGTTGTGATTAACAAGTGGATGCTCAGAACAAGAACAATACATGCTCTTAACTTCTGCCATTTCTCCAGACCTAGAATAAGTTTCTGTGAGTTCCAGGCCAGCCTGTTCTCTACAGTGAGTTCCAAGCCAGCCAAGGTTACATAGTAAGACTCTGTCTCAAACTTAAAAACTAAAAATAAACAAGGAAGAAACCCTATGTCAAACATGGTGGAAGATAAGGACCAACACCTGAGGCTGTCCCCTGACATACACACACACACACACACACACACACACACACACACACAGTGGGGACAGTTGATGTAAAGTAACAGGTGACTATAACCCCTAGTGCTCAGAAGTCTTATTCTACCCTTGCTGGTGTGGCCTGGCCCAGCCTTCCTTTTGCACTCAATACTATCACCCTGCATCCTGTATGGCTCTCCTGGTTGCCATACACCTCAGCTGCAGAGAGGTCTCCATTGGAGGAACATTCCATTTACAGATGGGATGTTTATAGATTCACATATTGATAAATCTCTATTAACATAGTTAAATGGTTTCCAGTTTTGTTTTGTTCTCATGAACCAGGCCTACTCCAAAATCCAGGCACACCCTTACTTGCTTTCTTGTATAAATTTGTAGCCTATGAAATTAGTGGGTCAAACTGAAGTTCACTGCTGCTAAATCACCTGCCATGTTCCACAATAGACATTTCAGGTTACACTCTCATCCTAAGAATACACAAAGACAAGTTGGGGGGGGGGGGTAACAGAGCTCTTGCCAGCATACACTTTTGAAGACTTTGCCATCACTATTCTGCATTGTTTATTCTGCCACACAGTCAGAGCAGAGTGTCAGCTTTCAACACTTAATGACCCTGTGAGCAGCAGGTACTAGCCATGTTAGGAAATAGGGGTAGGGGTGGGGGCAAGCTGCAGTGATCACTCTTTTACAGAGCTAGGTCACAGAATGAATGGTTCAAACCCAGACCCAGCCAATTCTCGTGCCCAACTCAGCCAACTCTGATCAACTACCTCCCAGTCCTTTCAATTTTATTTGGGTCTTGCTTATTTTGAGAGAATACTGACCATTTTATACATTAATCTTTCTTAGGTCCCTCTATAGCCTTGTGAAATGGATGGCTAATATTCACTACCATTTTATCCATAAAACAATTCACCAGACTCTACAGTAACCACTGAATATTGATATATACATAGACTCATGGGGGAGAGGGAGAGAGAGAGAGATCATACTCCATTCAGAAAGTTACTGAAGAATGTGTTCCACCAAAAGCAAATAAAGGGACAAACCAAGAAAGAATATATGAGAGGCATGGAAGAGACAAAGGATACACAGGGATAGAGTGTAGGGAGGTCCCAGGTCCTATTTGTCCTTTCAACAATCATTGAGCCTCCCATGTGCCAAGCACTGTGCTTGGTAATTTTACCACCAGTGAACAAAACACAAAAAGTTTTCCTGTGGATTTCTGGTACTAATACAGGAGTGGAGGAAGAGAGACAGCAAGCCCAATAAGCAAATTTTATAGCATAATAGGAGATAATAAGTGGCCGGGCAGTGATGACACAACGCCTTTAATCCCAGCACTTGGGAGGCAGAGACAGGCAGATCTCTGTGAGTTGGAGGCCAGCCTGTCTACAAAGAAAGTTCCAAGACAGCCAGGGCTGTTAAAAGGAGGAAAAATCCTATCTCGAAAACAAACATACAAAAAAGGGGGGGATAGTAAGTCTTGTGGGGAAGGAAGAAAATCAGGTCAATGGAGTTGCAGAAGTGCATCAGGAGGAGGTAAAAGTTTAAATGGAGAAAAGCCAAGGTCAGAGCTGTGGGCAGGAAGCACCCAGACCATGGTACACAGGCTTCCTGAATACTCCAGAAAAATACTTACAAAGGTAGGTTCTCAACACATAGAAAGTTGAATTGAGAAGCTGACATAGAGGTGAAAAACTACGGGGGTGGGGGTGGCTGGGTGGGGGGGGAGACAGACAGGTACAGAACAACCAAAGACTCTCCTAGAAAGACAAGAAAGACAGCAGACAGCAGAACCACAGTTAAGCTTTTTTTTTTTTTTTTTTTTTTTTTTTTTTGTGCCTCTTCT